GACAAACATTTGTTATGGATGCACCTAGTCTCCTTTAGCAAAATATTTCTAGAACTTATTGACTCAGGACTATGAAATCATTAGGAATAAATTTAAATATTATTCCAGTATTGAAGAATATAATGTGAAATATTGAAGAACACAACAAATCATGAACACTAGCAGGCTGTGTTTCAGCAGGGAGTCACTGACTCTACATTTTGATAGATCTATAAAAGCAGCACGTTGCTGTCAGATGACGAGCATCTCGGCCCACCTTCACCCCCTCACATCCCTACAGAAGTCACTCTAATGAGCAGCAGAGAGAAACAAGCACAAACCATGTGCTTTGACTGGAGCTTGGACGTTGTGCTCCATCTAGTGTTCAGACAGAGGACTCACTGCAGGTTCAACAGGAACGTTTACGACACGACAATAAACTGAACAAACCTGGAGGAAGAGTCAGTTTGTGAGGTTTAGTCTGAGTGAACCAGAAGACTGTGAAACGATGTCCTCTGGACAAAGCACAGATGTTTACCCACAATGCACAGGACTTTGTCACAACCACCTCAACCATGAACTCCTCACTGATCATTGTTGTTGTTTTTTAACTGAACGATACAAACAAATTGGTCCATGTCTGTATAAGGTAATACGCAGCACAGAAACTGGAAATGGGATTTCCTTTTAAAAGAACCACAAAGGATTAAAAAGTGATGAGAACATCAGATATTCTCACCTTTCTTAGAAGGTAAGACAACCTGAGGCTGTTCTTCAAGCTTCAGGGTTTGGACCAGGGCCTCTGGTGAGATCTTAGTRCCAGAGAAGATGCTGGAAGGGAGGGAGCTTTGAAACGCAACCTGGAAGACAATACACACAAATCAAWAAATAATAGCACTACATCACACAATGTAGACAACATTTGCTAATAAACGGTGTGAATATGGATAAATGTGTTGCTCTAAAGCTCAGTCWCTCACTGGTCTACAGACTGTTGTTTACATGGACAAGTTGGAATTATTTTATTTTAATACAGGAATGAATGACACTTCTATAATTAAGCATTATTCATCCCAGGGGTTCTTAACCTGTTTGATCTCGAGGCCCAATTTGTTGAACATAAAGTGACACAAGACCCAGTCACACATTACCAATGTATGGATCAAAATGATAATTATTCTAAATCTTGGTTTAATTTTTATTGTATTTATATCATAACTA